CACTTTTTAGATGAGATTGATATTTGAAACAGTAGATTTTGAGTAAAGATTACTCTCCATAATATCAGTGGGCCTTATCTAATCAGTCGAAGGCCTTCAGAAAAAAAGACCGAGGTCTCCCAAGGAAGAGGGAATTCTGCCTCCAGATTGCCTTCAGGTGTGAGCTGCAACATCACGTCTTCCTTAGGTCTCCGGCCTGCCAGCTGCCCTGCAGATTTTAGACTTGCCAGCCCCCACAATGATGTGAGCCAGTTTCTTAAATTTCTCTCTTTCTATACACACACACACACACACACACACACACACACATCCTGTTCGTGGTTCTGTTTCTCTGGAGAACTCTAATATAGATGGTTTAGGAGAGAAAAGAGGGAGGATCATAAATAATAGCTGTCTTTCCTGCAGAGTCAGAGCATTAGTGCCCTAGACAGGAAGAGGAGCTCCGCAGACAGAGCTCTGGATGGAGGGGAGGCAAGGAGGGGTGGGGCCAGCAAGAGTAGGGGTGGCCCTTCTGATGGCTATTCTCTCTGGGAAGTATGGGAGGGGTCACATCCTGGGCCCATAGGGAGGCGGCTTGTGAAGGATTGTGGGAAATCAGGGGGCACTGGTGCTCAGAAGCCTCCCTGGAAGCACCGAGGACCCACCGAGGTTACGGATCATGATCTGTGATGTCCCCATGCATAGACCCAGCCCTGGCGTGTGAGGAGTGAACAGCCGGCTAAATCGAGGGTTGGGCTCCACAGCAGAGGGAACTGCAAGCCTGTTAGCAGGCGAGGAGAGAGCCCTGGTGGGATAGAGTGGAGGCAGGAGTACGACCCTTCTTGTCAGAGCTTTCCTCAGTGCCTGCCCACTGTCCTTGGGATGAAAGGAGAACTAGAAAGAGGATTCCCACTGGGACGGTAACTGCGGTTATCCTTGGCATACGCAAGATTTTTCTCAGATGCTTCTCTCACACACCGGAAAGGTGTCAATAGGTTTCTTTTAATAACACACAACTGAAGTGTGAAAAGCCAGAGTAACTGCCCCTGAGGTTTACATCCAAGGAATCATACAAACCCAGAGTGCTTGAGCTGGAAGTATCTAGAAAAGTCCAGAGAGTTGTCACAGGCAAACCAAGGCCTGTCGAAATCAGAAATCAAGTTCCAATCACCAGATTGGAATCTGGAGGGTCATGAGTGACCTAGAAAATTACCCAGAGACGACTACTCCTGGGAGGGGTCTGGTGGCACAGGGCGGGGTTCTGGCCTACGTGAGCAGCTCAAGGACCATCGCCTCCCAACTCCTGGCCCCTTTCACCACTGAGGCAGACCCCAGCCAGGCAGCAGCTGTCTGAGAGAGCCCCTTTTCCCTGGTTGTGGCCATGTCCCCGCACCCTGCCCACTCTGGGCGGGTTTATCTCCTCACACAGAGCCTATGTCCCCTCACCTCAGGGTTGGCTTCCATTATCCTTGTGCCTGGAGACCTTTGGAGCTGAGCTGGTGAGTGCCTGAGTCCCTGTGCTCCGCTGTCTGCTCTGAGTGTCCACTGATGCTCCAACTGTGAAGGGGGGATGGTGGGGGCACCAGGTCCCCTCCTGCTGATAAAACCAGAGAGGTGCTGGCCGGGCGAACTGAGGAGGCCCTGGTCAGCTCCTTACCGCCAGGACTATAACCGTTTCACACATTACTTCTTTAAGATAAATCTCTGAAAGACTGGTTGATATGCAAATATAGAAAATATATAGAAGGGTTAAATCCCTTCCTATATAGAGGGACATAGGTTTGCATACTGGCTCTTCTATTTCCTCCATATCTGACAATGTGGAGCAAGTTAGCATTAGTGGTTGTTACTATATTTAGACCTAATGTAGAAGGAATTGTGAGTTCTAGGTTGTGTTTGAAGGGATTTCATTGGCTGGCTATGCTGCCAGGCTTGGGGCTGGTGGCCCAGGGATTGGTTTGCTGGTGTTGGTTTCCTTGGGGGCATTGTTTCCGGGTGACTAAGGGAGAGGAGAGGAGTTTTGTGCACAGGTATCTGAAGAAGAAAGGAGAATAGTGCATGGATTAGTTAGCACCCTTTAGGTGGCCAAAAAGCAAAGACCAATTAAAGTGAGCTTCAGCAAAAATTGGAAGTTGATTGTGTAGATTCCAGGGTGTCTCCGGTAGCCCAAGGTCAGTGATGCAACAGAACCTCAGGAAAGATCTAGAATCAGGAGCTAGATGGGAGGCTGCCAAGACTGTCTCTCCTGTCTGCTACTCTGCACATCTGCTTCCTCCCTATTCTCTGCGAATCAGCTTTCTCCGTGCCTCCCTCCGCAAGGTAAAACACAGGCCATCCAACGGCTCCTGGGTTTTCTTATTACAGTTCTAGCTCCATGAGCTCCAGCTTAGAAACCACAATGAAAAGGGAGAATATGGAGCTTCCAGGTTGGGTAGCGCATGGAGACTCAGAGAGACAGTGGCGAGCTCGGAGAGGGCCTGGAAGCTCTGTGCCTTCTCCCCACATCTGGCCCTATGCATCTCTTCTACCTGGTTCTTCCTGAGTTCTGTCCTTTTATAATAAACTAGTAATCTGGTAAGTAGACACATTCAGAGAGAGAGAGTATCTTTCTGCCTGGGTCCCGGAGATCAATTCCAGAGATGCATCTTAATTTGTCCTGCTTGGGTCCCATGTCACTTCTTCATCACTCACTGTTGTCAGGGGGAGAGGGAGCTCTGACTAATCAGGTCTGGGTCATGGGTCTGTTCCTGTGGCCTGGGTCATGGAATCTATTAGCAGAAAAAAAGGAAATGAGGAAGCTTGTTGAACAGAGGAAAAAGAAACATAAATACCATAGCCCACTCCAGGGAGATTCCCGGCTTCTCCCACCCCCACAGACCTAGCCCGGCTCTGATGCCCCAAAGCAGCAACCCCAGAGGACAGCCACACACATAGGAACAGTCTTTTCCCAGAGAACCCAGGCAGTGGCAGCCTCCATCCTCAAAGGAGGGAGACAGAGCTGAAAAATACAAGCGAGCCTGTGCTTGAGCTTATGTGGGACACCACCATGGGCACCCCGAGACATAACCAGGGGAAATTCTGGATGGAGCTGAACCTCTGTGCGAATATCATATTCAGGGCATTAATATCACTGGATGTCACTTTCTACCCTCAAACTCATCAGACCTGGGAGCACTAGTTTATCGTACAGGGGAACAATCCCTTATAACAGGTCCTCTAAGCTTTTTCCAAAGTTTTTACCATAATAAATAATTCTGCAGTCAGTCCCCTTGTAGTTAGATCTTCAAGCACATTCTTGACTTATTACTATTTGTGAAAGTTAAAAGTGAGAAAAGCCAGAAGGACAAGCTGTGAATAGGAAAGCCTCTGGGTAATGAAGCAAGTCTTAGCCAGAACTCTTAGGGTTGCAAGCAACAGAAACTCAGGCCAAGCCAATTTCAGTGAAAAGAATATTTATTGACTCCAGAAACTGGGAGTTCCTGGAATGGAGTTGATTTCAGGCGTGACTGGATGCAGAGACTCAATATTATTCTCTCTCTGTGTCCATTTCTCAGCTATGTTTTTCTTGGGATATCAGGCTCATTACTATTACAGAAGATGCGCTTCCTCCACGTGGCTTTGTGGTGTGGAGGGGAGAGGGCGAGTATCATCACAGACAGGTTCAGGTTTACATCATCCAATCTCAGTAAAAAGTAAGCTCTTCTCTCCCAGCGCCAGACAGAAAGTCCCAGAAGAGTCTGATCTTACTAGAGTAACATTCCCACTCCATGAACCCATCACTGCAGCCCAGGAAAACCTACCCTCTGGCCAGAGAAGGCGAGTCCTATGATCAGTAGCCCCAGCACACCCATGTGGAATGCAGGAGGGTCAAGTGCCAAAGGAAAGAGGAGAGCTGTTACCGGAATAGGTAGGTAAGGGCTGTTGGCAGTTTGAAAGAAGATGTGCAAAGTTGAGTCCTGTAGGCTGGCCAACATTGTGTCCTGCTGCAGGGGGCTGGGACACACAGGAAGCTCTCTCCTTAAAAGCAGAAATGAAACCCACTTCTGTGTGTCATGGCACACAGCGTACACCACGCTAAGGTGTGGCCCTGGGGAGCTGTTTATAGGGATACTTGTCGTCAGTGTAAATACAGTGAAGGACCCAGGCCTTCTTTGAAAGATGGTCTGATCTTGAGGAGAACATAATTTTCCCCCGAAATCACTCCAGGGCTCCTGATTTCCTGTAAAACCCAAATCTAATTCCACTCTAACGTGCAATCACACTGTGAGGCCAAGGAAAGAGTGTGAGCTTTAGGGTCAGGCAGACAGTCTGGACTGCATTGTGTGACCTGAGGGCAAGTTATCTTGAACATCTTGAAGGGAAAGTTGGCAGCATAGTGTCACGTTACAGTCCTGGCTCCTGAAGTCACCCCATCTCCATCCTTAGCCACATGCCCTTGAATACATTACCTGACTTCTCTGTGCCTCCAGTTCCTCATCCATAAAATAGGCATGATGATAAAACTTAGTTTACAAATTTGGTCAGCAGATTAAGTGAGACAAGTCATGTCAAGTACTTAGAACAGTGCCTGGCATACAGTAAGCACTCAATAAATGTTAGCTATTGCTATTATTATTGCTGATATCTTTGAATTCTCAATACCCATCAGAGTACCTGGCCCAGAAGGAACCAATTGACTTAACCCTTGGTAACCTCATTTTCCTAATCTATAAAATGAGAACATTACTCATCTAATAGGTTGTCATAATGAAGAAATGAGGTAATGTACGTAAAGCTTCTGGCACAATGCCTACCTTATGATAGGTTCCTTTCATTCTCTCCCTTCCCCTGCCCCTGGCTTTCGAGGTCCTCCATGATTTTAGGGACCAAGTCTCCTTGAGTAGCAAAGTGCAGAGACCCAGCTCAAATTTGCTTGCACTAATAAAGAAAAAGTATTGGCTGAATCCAGGGACTCAAATCCAGGGACTCAAATGATGTCATCAGGACTTCATCTCCTTCTTGCATTTATTTTTTTCCTGTAGTGCTGACCTCACTTCATGGAGATTCGCTTCATCTGGTGGCCTCCAGCAGCTCCAGATCTTCACCAGGTCTCTTAACCTCTCTGCACCTCAATGATCTCAGTAAAAGGGGGATAATTAATAATAGTAATAATTAAGTAACATAATGGTTAACATGTGTAAAGTGCCTAAAACAAGCTTTCAATATATATTATTCTCGTTGCTGCCATTATTCTTTAGCAATTCCAAAGGAACAAGAGCTTCTCCTTCTGGAAAACTCCAAGGATTGAGTCTTGTTGGATCAACTCAGATCTCCTGCCTTCTTTGAGCCAACCACTATGAGAGAAGGGTAGAATAATCTGACAGTTCCAGGCTGGGTTATTTACCCAGCCCTGGAGCTGGAGCCAGACACGGACGAAGAATTAGGGAATTTGGTCCCCCAAGAAAAGTCAAGACACTATTAAGAGAAGAAAAACGTGGACTGTGGACAGACGAGAACAGAAGGTGGCCCAGTGGTGAACTCGCCATCTCCTGAGTTGGAACTGATGACTGTCTTTCATTTCCGCCCCCAAATAACCGTGGAGCCTTGGGCATATTACTTAACCTCTCAGAGCCTCTGTTTCCCCACTTGTGGAAGTGGGATAATTTTTCATCACAAATGTTTGCTTTTAAGCTTTTTATTGTAGAAATTTTCAAGCACATTCAAAAGTAGACACAATAGTAAAATGAACCCCTGGGTACCTATCACTCAGCTTCAATAATTATCAACACATGGCTGACCTTTTTTCATCTATATCCCACTTATTCTCCCCACACCCTGCTCCTGGAATATTTTGAAGCAAATCCCAGATATCACATCATTTCATCCATAAATGTTTCAGTATGTATCTCTAAAAAATAGGGACTATTTTTTTCTCAAACATAATCACTAGACAGTCATCACACCTAAAATTATTAACAATATTTCCTTAACATCATTCAAAAATTCAGAGTTCAAATTTCTCTGAATGTCTCCTGATTGTCTTTCACTCTTGATTTATTTGAATTAGGATCAAATAGCTATGCCTTGTTCTCAGGAGCTCTAGAGTCAATGCTAACGAGAGAAGATTCATTTTCCTAAAGCACCATTTATATCATGTTGCTCCAGATTAGAACCCCTCAGTGATGGCCCGTTATCTTGGCCAACTCGTGTATATTAGTTTGCCAGGGCCGCACAACAGAGAACAGCCTGGGGGCCTTAAACAACAGAAATTTACTTTCTCACAATTCTGGAGGCTACAAGTCTGAGATCAAGGTGTCGGCAGAGTCGGTTCCTTCTGAGGCCTCCCTCCTTGGCTTGCACATGGCTGTCTTCCTCTGGTTTCTCCACCTCGCCTTCCCCCATCTGTGTCTGTGTCCTAATTTCTCCCTTTCATAAGGACACCTGTCATATTGGATTAGGGCCCACCCATATGACCTCATTTTACTTTAATTACCTTTTTAAAGACCCTATCTCTGAAAACAGTCACATTCTGAGGTCCTAGGGCTTCAACACAAGAATGGGACAGGGGCACATTCAGCCCATAACATCATGGAAAGCTCTGGAGTTAGAATGACCCTTCCCAAAATTGTCCCAGTTGGGCCCAAATGGCCAGGTCTATATGGATCTGTCATTGGATGTGGGACTCTCTGGGAAAGATGTGACTTTGGGAGAGGCCACTCTTTGCAGCTGAGTCAGTCCCCAAGGAGTCTGACAGCTGAAGGTGGTCTGCGGACAGCACCCCAGTAGCTGGGCAGCAGGTCCTTCATTGAAGGGGGCTCTGGGCAGTGCATCGCAGGGTCCACCACCAGTGGATTCTATTTCTTGCAGCCAAACAAACCTCAAGACAAGGATGTCATGAGAGTTAAATGAGACAATAATTCTCAGCTCCCTGAGGACAGGGAGTGTGTGTTGGTCACTGGGTCCCCCATCAATGATAGACACGGCTGGCTGGCCAACCCATCACTCATGCCCAACTGCTGCTGCCTTGTCCTCCTCTACCTCGGAGGCAGGAAAAGCTCAAGTCTCATGTTCTTGGCCTTTCTTCTGGATAAGGAGAGGTCTGCTGGGTGGGGTTCTAAGATAGCTGTGACAACAGGGACAGATGGAACAGATGCTGCCACCCCCAATGCAGACACGACATATGAACTGAGGCAGCTATCTTGCACAGCCAGGGGAAGTTCAACAGAACTGCAGGCCGGTGAGAGAATAATCGAGAGCTGGTAGCTGCAGACCTCCAAATTTTTTGTTAAATGAGAAGAATTGAATGGTGTCCCCATAAAAGATATATTCTCACCCCGGGACCTTTGCAGATAGAAAAAGAATCTTTGTGGATGTAGTTAAGTAAAGGATCTCTAGATGAGATCATCCTGGCTTATCCAGGTGTGCCCTAAGTGCAATGGCAAGTGTCCCTATAAGAGAAGAGAAAGAGAGAAGAAGACACAGAGGAGAAGGTGACAGAAGACACTGGGGGCGAAGACTGGAGTGATCCATCTATAGGCCAAAGAACGCCAGGGTTGTGGGCAGCCCCCAGAAGCTGGGTGAGAACATGACATGCATTCTCCCTCACAGCGTCCAGAAGGAACCAACTCTGCTGACACTGGACTTCAGACTTCTGGCCTCCAGAATTGTGAGAGAATAAATTTCTGTGGTTTTAGACCACCAAGTTTGTGGTACTTTGTCATGGCAGCCACAGGAAGCTAATACACACTGTGTTCTCGATTATTTTATTATTTGTAGCCTGTCTTAGTCTATTCAGGCTGCTAAACACCAATACAGAGATCAGGTAGCTTAAAAACAACAGAAATTTATTTCTTACCGCTCTGGAGGCTGGCAGTCCAAAATCAAGGAGCCGGCATGTTGGATGATAAGGGTCCTCCTCTGGGCTGCAGACTGCCAGCTTCTCATTATAACTGCACATGGTGGGAGGAGTGAGGGAGCTCTGTGGGGTCCCATCCATGAGGGATCCACTTGTGTGACTTAGCACTTCCCAAAGGCCCCACCTCCTAATATCATCACCTTGGGGATTCGAATTCCTTCATATGAATCTGGTGGAGGACCCAGGGGTGGGGGGGCGGGACACCCAAATATTCAAACCATAGCTTACCCCAATCTTAATTGCCATAACCTAGCAGTGCCCAGTATACAGTAGGCACTCAGTAAACGTTAAATGAATGAACCAATGTACTTAGAGCACATGTGGGAGGTGGAGGAAGGCCAGGCTGGAAAGGCAGGCCGAGGGCTGACTGCAGAGAACGCTGATATCTTTCCAAATGTGGCATTCGGCCTTTTCTGTTGAGGTAATGGGCTGTCATCGTTGGGTTCTAATCCAGGCACAACACGATAGAAATGGTGCTTTAGGAAAATGAATCTGCTCATGTTAGCATTGACTCCAGACCTGCGGAGACAATAAGGCACAGATAAATGTTCCACACATCCACGCTTGGAAGCGCAGAGCAACTGTCCAAATGAACCATGCTGTCCACTGGCTGAGCCACGAATTAGTTCAAATCTTCCAGTTGGAGAAGTCTCAGAGCTTTCCACTACAACATGCAAACATTTACAATGGCACAATGGGGCATTATGGTAACCACTCAATGAAATCATATGAAGGTGCCAACTATCTGTCCTCCCACCAGGACCCAGTCCTTTAAGCCTGATTCTCCACCCACGAGCCCTGCCCTCAGGCAAAGATTCCCAGCATTCCCCTCAATGGTTCCAGACCTGGAGTCACTTCTCACACACTCTTGGCTCTGACCCCATCTTGACTCCGCCTGTGGCCCTTTGGCTGTCTGCAACAGATCCTGGCATTCCTCACTCAAGTTCCAGGCCCATGGCATCAACCCACGCTCCCAGCCACAAACAAAAGGTGACTTGCCACTCCACAGGCCGGGCTCCCTGCTACCCTCTTAACAGTTTAGGGAGTGTGGTGGGACGACCAAGCCCAGGCTTGGGTCCAACCCTGGCTCAGCCACCAGATGTTTCTTAACTCCTCTGAACCTCAGTTTCCCCAGCTGATAACAATGCCTAACTCACAGGGCAGCTCTGAGGATGGGGGGAAGGATTCAATCAATGAAATGAGACATGGACTCTACCCTCATGGGACTTACACTGTAATGGAAGAACACAAACAAGTTATTTTCATTTATGAAAGGTTAAAATTCAGTCAAGGGAATTTTGCCAAGTGCTTTTAGTCCAAATCTCATGGACAAAGGCTTCAGAGTCCCTGCTTTGAAGCTGACCCTCAGGTGCCGTCCTGGGTTGCAGAACACTCTCACGCAGCAGTTACGTGCAGCATCTAATGCTGTTCCTGAAAGACAGTCTTGCCTTAATTCAATACATCTCTACCCCTCTAGTCATCCAAAATGAAAGTGGACAGAGGACCAGAGGTGCCTCATGCTTCCTTGGATAGACTGTGGTGGGCACACACCAGGGCAACGTGTGCAGCAATTAGAAGCCACACACTGATGCACGTACACAGAACACAGACGGATCATTAAAAAACATGGTAGATGAGGCTGAATGCTCTCTCTGTGCCAGGCACCTTCTAAGTACGTGACATAGACTAACTCATTTAGACCTCACCAATCCCAGGAGGTATATACACATCCTTAATATCACCAACGTACAGAGGAAGAAACAGAGGCACAGAGAAGTTCGGTAACTTGCCCATGTTATACAGCTGGCAAATGGAGGAGCTGAGATTTGAACCAGGCAGCCTACACACTTCACCTCAATGCTATACTAAATACACACACACACACACACACACACACACATTTTTCACCACCCGCCATTCTGCCCATGAACTGCCAGTTTGTTCTCAATCCATCTTGGTCCTTCTCCTGCTCTCCTCCATATCACAGGGAATGAAATTCCTAGTTCTCTTGCCTCCAGCTTCAGGGCTGGTTGTGGCAATGGGAAGCTCTGGTAGGAGGAAGGGAGAGCCAGGGTGTTCCTCCCTTTCTGTTTCCTGTGGTATCTCCCACAGCCCCTGTGCCTTTTCTGTGGCTCTGGCTCCCTCCAGATGGTTCCTTCCCCATTTGTTTCACATCCTACCAGGAGTCCCCACTTTAGGGCCCCAGATGTAAGCCCCAGCTCTGGATTCTGGTAACAGCACTCTTCCCATTGTCCCGTCAGTCCCAGGGGTGGTGGTGGTGGTGGTTTCCTGTGGTGGATAACCTCTGGGTCCCTTTATCATCATGTTTATCTTCTCAGTTCTCCTATCACTTGTTTAACCAATGCCCTATATTAAATTCCCTCTGTTTGAAAGACCTAGAGTGGTTTCTGATTTTCTTGAGAGATCTTGACTAATAAATCATTTACGTGAATTAAAAATATATGCACACTCTGGTGGAAGGAGTCTAGATGCCTGGGATGTCTAGATGCCTGGGATGGAGGCCAAATTCTGCCTCCAACCCATATGAAACCTTGATCTCTTTGTCTATCTTCCTCGGGCTTTGGACTTCTAATTTGCAACGTTGATGTTAGATTAAAGAGGTGTGGATGTGTTTTAAGTACATGTCTACTCAAATGCATATATATACACATATGTATGTCAAGAATACAATTTTTTTCCCAAAGGTAACATGAATTCAAGGATACCTATGAATCACATACATAGTTGCCCATGGAGCAAAGAATGAGGATTAGAAACGAGTAAACAGACAAACAAAAAGTTCTGGGACTGACCAAGAATGATATGACATAACTACTACCTCAACTTGAGGTCTTATACAAGTAATTCTCATGTCCCTTTGTACATGGAGACACCACCCAAGTTTGGGGAATAATGTCTGACTTCAGACACAGCATTCACACCACAGATATGAGGCAAAAAACTGGGAGATGGGCAAGCTCCTCCAGACTCCCCCAAGAGCCTCTCAGTGCTTCTCCCCATCCTGTGGGTGGTGACTCCCACGTGTGGTGTGACTCTTGGCTGCTCAGAGCCTTCACGTTATGTAGGGGAAGAAGAAGGAGAAAACGACTATTTGGGGACAGCAAGCAGCTTCTGCCACAACAGAAGAGTAACATCTTTAGGGAAGATCTCCAGTAGCTGGAAGAGAGAAAGGCAAGATAAGAATCTCCATGAGGAAACCAGCCCTCCCTCCCTGCAAGAAGCAACTGGAAAGCAGAGCACGACAGAGCAAAGCAGTGGGTCTTAACTTTGGACCAGCCGCATGCTGCCATCCAGGACTGGACACATCACTGATCTCACGCATACACCCTGCGTGCTCACGAGGCGAAGGAAAGCCGTCTCGGACTTGGGTTCACAATCACTTCTTTCCCTCGCGATGAGAAAGCAGAGCCTGCTTTTCAGACGTGGCCGTGCTGGAGGAGGCAGCTCAGCCCAGAAAGGCTGCTGGCGCCATCTAGTGCTCAGCTGGAGAACCGGCTCAGCGCGCACCCCTGAATGGGGGCGGGGCGGGGGGGGGCTCTCCAACACCCCATCTGCCTGTTCAAAAACTTCACAGCATGCCAATTTGCAAATATTGGGAAATCGCTTTGCCTTGCAATCTTCAAGGAGTAAACCTCCTGAACCCATTGCCAGGAGAGCCCTCAGAATCTGCCAGATGATTACCTAACCCCCAAAGGGCTCCTCGCAGATTGGACATTCCGGGCCTGTAAAACCCACCGTCGGCACGCACAGAATCATAGGAAACTTGGCGTCCGAATTTCATCTGCAGCATCTCTCAGGGGCTACCTGAGCTTTTCCTAAGAGAAAAATCTCTCTCCTTCGGTGTGAAGACATCTGCTTTCCAGAGTTCCCCACGGCCACCCTCTCTGAATAACAATTTCCAAACCAGTTGTTAGTTCACATTTAAAATTGAGAGTCACGTTTTTTTCTCCTTCTAGGGGAGAAAAGAGTAGCTGTTTCAGGGATCGTTAAGCCCCAATTTCTTTACCAGGATTCTGGGCGTAAATGGCTTAACTGTTCCACCCTCTGTTAGTGAAGACACACTGCAATCCGGCTTGATCCTGAAAAATGAATTTTCAGCTGCAACTGCTGGAAAGGGGCCTTGATTTATTTATAATCAGCTAATGTTGTCATTCAACAGGAAAGAGTAATAATAACACGAGAAACAAAACTTGAGCCCTGAGTTAGGGTGCAAGATTTGGGAACACGGCTGTTTTTTGGTTCTGAAATAGACAAGAAATAAAGATGAGACAATGCCAGAGTGTGCGCACTAATGACTTCATAAATAGCGAAACAATTTTGACATGCTGCTTCCAGGGAAAGAAAGAAGATTTTTTTGTCTTTTCCATCAAAGACTGTATTGCTATTTTGGCCATCCAGAATTTGTCAGGAACATGTTTCCCTAATCACACGGCCAGTGATTTCGTTTTGTCCTGAGGCCGTGGTCCCCTGTCAGCTGCTGTGACTCTCCCCCTCCCCCCTCCCCCAGAGGCAGAGGGAGGTGTAGGTAGGATGGGAAGTGGGAGAGTGCCCTCTCTCTTTACCAGCATCAGAAACATGCTGAAGGTGCTAGAAGGAATTGCCTTTTGTCTTCCAATTTAGGTTGGGTTTTGACAGACCGCTTTTACTTTCCCGGCAGCTTCTCAATTCAGGCAATTTCACGGCTTCTCTTCTGCCACTGAGCTATGTCTGCAGCAGCGGGGTTATTAGCTCAATTGCTAAGCAGCTGCGTTTCGACTGCAGCCCAGACCCACTCTGGAGGCTGTGCTGGCAAGCCGGGAAAAGCCCAGAGTTAACTGGGTGATCAGGGCAGCCCAGAGGGGGACAGCGTGTCCTGGTTAATTATTCAGCACAATTGGATGGCTGAGAGCTGTCTGTATACTTCCTTTCAGTGAATTGGAATATAATGAAGTAGAGCTCATTCATTCACTTAACAAGTGTTTATTAAGAGCCATACTAGAGCTCTTCTGAATGTAATTAGCCTATTAAGCAGAGCTACGCTGAAGGGGAAGAGAGTTCCAGGTGGAGGGAGTGGCAAGTCCAATGTCTAGGTCATTAGCTTGGCCTGTTTGGGGCCAAGCAGGAAGGCAGGAAGAGCTGGATGCAGACAGGGAGGGAGAGAAGGATGGGGGATGAGGCTAGAAGTCAGGAGC